TGGTGCCGGTCACCTGTCATCTGTCGTCCCGATGATCACCGATTTGCTCGGCGCCAGCAACGTCTCCATTCGTCCCTGTCGCGTGCAAGAGTTGTCCAGTGGACCCTCCTCGCTCGAGGGACACGAAGTCCTTCATTCCTTTCGTTCAGAGCTTTCGTGAAGTCTGACCATCGGGCCGGCGGTCGTCCAGGTGTTCGTTTGACGTCCCGAGGGATCCAGTCGGTAACCGCTCTGGTCCAACGGTCATCACAAAATCGCATGACGTGTCCGGCCCACCTTATCTTCGATTCCTTGGCGAAAACGGCAGCGTCCCTGATCTTCTCGACAGCGCGTTGGATAACGCTGACCGCATGCTCGTCCTGCCTGCGCAGAGTCCAAGTCTCTGAGGCGTAGGTTAGGGCAGGAAGGACTGCGGAATCGAAGAGGTGGGCACGGAGCCGGATGTTCTTCGTCTTCTTCACTACTCCCTCGATGTTCTTGAACGCTCCCCAAGCCGCTCGTTTCCTCCTGCTCAGCTCTGGAGCTAGATCGTTCATCATATTGATTTCCCGACCTAGGTACACGTAGCTGGAGCATTCGGTGATGTTCGTTCCGTTGAGCGTGAATGGGGCATCAGGAACCAATCCGTTTCTCATAAACATCGTCTTCGTTCAGCTGTAGACCGACCTTACCACAGGCGCAGTCGAAATCAGCCAGCATTCGCTCCGCTTGCTCGATGTTCGGCGTTATAAGAACGATGTCGTCAGCAAAACGAAGGTGGTGTAGTTGCCGGCCGTCGACCTTCACTCCCATGTCTTCCCATTCCAGTTGACGCATGACGTTCTCGAGAGCGGCAGAGTTTGGGCGAGATGGTGTCGCCCTGTCGAACCCCTCTCTTGACGTCGATGATGACCTCCTTGTAGAATGGTGAGATTCTGGTCGTAAAGTTGCTGTAGAGCTCACGAAGAATCTTGATGTACTGAGTAGGGACGCCCTGGTTGCCCAAGGCTTCGATGACCGCTTCTGTCTCCACAGAGTCGAAGGCCTTCTTCAAGTCGATGAACGTGAGACAAAGCGGCATCTTGTACTCTCGTGAAACTTCAATGAGTCTTGTAACCGTGTGGATATGGTCGATCGTGCTGAACCCTCTTCGAAACCCTGCTTGCTCGCATGGCTGTCCTTCAGTTTATAGATTACAGACAGCAGGCAGATTGGGCGATAATTGCCAATGGTACCTTGCATTCCGGACAGGTAGCGCGTGAAGAGTCGAGCCAGAGTTTTGATGATAACTGGCGGCGCATTCTTCAGATGTTCCGGTTTGACCCTGTCGAGACCGGGTGCTGTACGATTCTTCACCGACTTGATGGCGTGTCGGACTTCGGAAGAGAGAACTGAGGGGACGACGTATCCATCCTGTTGCAGTTGATAAGTGGGCAGATGGACATGGCTATCGAAGAGATCCGAGTAGAAGTCGTGGATGACTTTCTCCATTGCCCTTCGGGACTGTTCCATCCGGACGTCGGAGGCAGGTCATCTTGGTCTTGTAGCTGGCAAAGCTTCGGCGGGCATTGCGGATGCTCCTCCCAGCCTCTGCTGCTTCAGCTAATACTGCTGCTCTTCGCTCCTTGAGATCTTCCTTTATCGCCTCTCTGCATAGCTTCGCAAGCTCGGACGTGAGTCGGTGATTGCCTGCAGCTCGTGCGGCTCCACGCTGGCGTATCAGTTCGAGAGTTTCCGGAGACAGACGTCCCTTGGTGACTTTCAAACTCTCTGCCTTCCTGCCACAATCGTGAAGATGTTCAACGAGCCGATAGTACTCCTCGTCGATGTTTTCGATGACGGAATCCTCCCATAAGCTGACGAGGGAAGCGAAGTGATCCCAGTTGATGACTGTCCTGGGGCTTCGCTTCCTGAACTTTGAGGCTCTCTCAACACGCATCGAAAAGTGGAACTTTGCGCGGAGGAGACGATGGTCCGATCCCGTGTAGAACTTCGGAACAACAGCGACGTCGGTCAGGCAAAACCTTCGATTGAAGATGATGTGGTCTATCTCGTTATGGAACTGTCCATCAGGTGACTCCCAAGTCCAACGAAGGTGAGAGGGCTTCTGGAACTGTGAGTTACCATGGATGGTGTTGGTCGACATGATAAACTCAGACAGTCTTTCGCCCTGCTCATTCCAATCCATTCCGTGAGTACCGATGTGAAGTTCTTCAGCCGTTCTTCTTGGGCCAATCTTAGCGTTGAAGTCGCCGACGATGACCTTGAAGAAGGTATGATCTTCCTGTAGAACTTCTCCAATTCCATATAAAATGCTTCGTGTTCCTCCTCGTCGTAGCTGGATGTTGGTGCGTAGGCGACGAAGATTGTCAAAGCAGGAGTTGAACCACATCTTCTCAATCTCAAACGTCCGATTCGGGTCGTAAGGCTTTCGTACGAATCGATGTTTATGGCCAAGTGCGTGTTGACGAGGACACCCACACCGCCAACGCCTCTGCTGTCGCAGGAACAGTTCTTCTCCAGTATCGAAAACGGCGTGTAGCCATCGGTGCCTTCTCGTCTCGGTC